CATTCATGAGGACGTGAATGCATAACTCCTTACATTATGCAATATGTTTTGCTGAAGAGGATTAGAGTCTTGAAGATGCAGCTTCTTCCATTTGAGTTTGTCCGGGTCTCAAAGAAGCCTTTCATAATTAGGATCAATAAGTCATTTTGCGTCTCTATTCAAGTAAAATTTGGAGGGGAAAAAAGAAAAAGGGGGCAAAAAAAATTCAAGTGGAATTTAAATTCCTCTTCCACGTACAAGAAGCATTTTTTAAAGGGAAAATTTGCTAAAGGGCCACACAGGTAAAACATAGGAGAAAAGAGGGGAACTGTAAAACTGAGGTAAATCACTGGTAAAGGAGCGGTAAATTTCGAACGGGAAACTGGGGGGGAAAAAGAGAGGAATTTACATTTCCCCTCTTTTCTCCTGTCTTATCAGCATCTTACATTTACCTTTCACCTGTAATTTACCATTTTTTTGGTACCTACAGGGCATCTTTCACTTAAGGTTTACCTACTTTATGACAACCTGATGTAATTTTCATCTCATATAATGGGTGTAACGTCAAGCCTGAGGCTATGAGAGAAACATGTGATCCGAGACCAAGAATAAAAGCCTGACTTAAAAAAAAGCACATCGTAAAATTGTCAGCTAATTTTCTTTCAAAGCTCTATTAGCTTCCGACTTGGCACGAGTCTAAGAATGCAAATTTGCATTAGCCTCTTCCGAGTTACACGATCGAGACCCTGAGATAAGCTTAGCCTAGCGTCAAAGGATTAAAGGTTCATATTATTAAGGAAATTCACGTCACAACACGAATAAATTTTCTGAGAACCTCCTCACCCCCGACAGGGCGAGACCAATTCGCAGTCACGACCCTCTCTGTCGTGACCCGCTCTGTCGTGACCCGCTCTGTCGTGACCCGCTCTGTCATGACTGCCACCAAGCCACACGGGGAATAGCGTAGCTCCAACGCGTCCCACGAGAATGACAAACGCAGAGGTGCAAAGGGGAACTTTTCCCTCGGATTACCCGAATTTCAACTGCCAATCTTTTTTCTCTTCTCAAGCTCTTGTTTGCGGTGGAGTCCTTTCCCCCGAGCTTCAAGTGAAAATCGGGGAGTTTACCCTCCTTTCCCTAATTTTTTTCCACCTCTCCTAATTAGTCGGAAGACCCTTTAGGTCTTCTAGGTGAAAAAGCTGTGAAATTTAGGTGAAAGTTTTGTATAGGCAGGTTCTTAAAAAGAAGAAAACTCAAGGCTTTGATGCCTCATCAGAACGAAATTAAGTTTGTTTCCAAATACGATAAAAAAAAATCCCGGTTTCGTGAAAGCTCTTTCATGAGACAGGCATATTTTTTTTTATCTGAACCACCTTACAGAAAAACGTGAGGTGGTTCAGATAAGAAATCGCAAAAAGTGAAGATTCGGCATGCATTTTCTCCCTGCAAAAAAGATGGATACAAATTTATACTTAAATCGTGCAGAGTGACCACAAAAAACGGTACCCATACTATGTAATAATCCGTCCTTATTATTATTTCAAATGGCGTGTTCTTTGGTACGCATTTGCTTCACACGATGCATGATAACTATGGAAAGCTTCAGATGGATATCTTTAATGCCATTGATTTGATCGAGGTTCGAGCACATGCTCCAGATGTCGCCTCTGCGCTGCAGGCACGCTTGGATGCGACTTGATGTTGAATGGGCGCCGCACTTATCAGATCTGTCACCGCCAGATTTCCGTCTTTGGGGCCATCTTAAGGACGTCTACCGAGGAAGGCCACAATCCATAGATGATTTCAAAACAGCAATAACTGACAAAAATCCGTTCAATCATTGCAGCCGATTGTGTCAGAGTAATAAACAATTTTTTCCGTCGAATCCGTGTGCCTGCAGCGCAGAGACCGACACCTGGAGCATGTGCTCTAACCTCAATCAAATCAATGACAGTAAAGATAAAGATATCCATCTGAAACTTTCTATAGTTATCATGCATCATGTGAAGCAAATGTGTACCAAAGAACGTGTCATTTGAAATAAAAATAAGAAGGGATTATTGTATTGTATGGGTATCCTTTTTTTTCGGTCACCCTGTACGACTGAGCCAGGGAAGGACTCTTCGCATTGCCATTTTGCGTTAGTTCTGTTCGGGAATTAATTTACGGCCGTGAGGGGACGGAAGTATTTAAAGACTCCGTACGATGAAGGTTAACTCTCATTGCTAGAGCATCCAGGTGTGTAGCATATTAGTAATAGCAATATATTTTATGATATTATGATATATCATTATATGATATATCTTTTTTTGATATATCATTATAACGCAATACCTCCACTGTTTAGTTGAATCACTTACTTGATAGCAAAATGATTTTATTCCCCATCCCCCTCCCCCCATTTTTTCTCCCTCCTCCTCCTGAATCTACTCACTCATTAAAAAAATTTGAGGGAAAGATGGAAAAAGAAATAAAGACGAGAGGAAAGATTGAGATAGCTCCCCAACGCTACGTACTCGTATATCTATAGCTGCCTCCATGGAGAAGCGAGCAAGGATCCTCTCAGCCCTTTCCCCCGTACTTTCCATTCATTTATTTCCCATGAAAACTTATTTAAGAGTCTGAAGTGGACCTTGCCAACGAGCAACGCCAACCCTCTCAGCCTTGAGCGGTCTTTCTCTTGAATATTTCTCAAAAAAAGCGTTCAAGGTACCAGTTCCAGCTTCTCCAACGACGGCTATCGGTCTATTCCAGTCTCCAATTTTCGTTGCTCAGCGAAGGATTTCGATTCTAATTGTCGAAAATGGATCGTGGAGAGTGGAAAACTATCAGCTTTCTTTTCCAAGAGTAATTTCAAAGTCTCGATCGGGTTTTCCTTTAATAAGTTTCTCTCTATTATATCAAAGTTTCTTTCATAATAGTCGTCGAGATTCAGATTCCAGAACGGCTCTGATTAATCAAATCATCTCCTCGCTAAGTAATGATATTGCATCAACGGGATCGAAGCCCCCACTAATCGGCTTTCCTTTCACTTTAATCACTCTGAAGCGGCAATAGTGCGATATGTGGAAGACGTCAATATGCTCAACTCAGCCTCGTCCGACGAGATCCAGATTCCTGCATGAAATGGCATTGGTTTGGAACGGTAAAAATGCATTTGATCATGCATCATGTACCTTTTTATTCGGAAATATTTATTAACTAGTATTTTATTAGATATTCCGGCAACCTGCACTCTGCCGACGCAGACTGAAACCTGTAAATTCTATGAAAATGCGTATGTAGTTGAGTAAGCAAAAGTGAGAGTCCAAAATAACTGGGTAAACTTTTCATGAGATAGCTAAAACTTCACTTCGCTCTGCTTCCTTTATTAGATTTAATTTTCAAACGGTTTGTGACGTTACAGTAATTTCTATTACGTTGGTTTGCCTTGGTACACAGCCCTGGCTGGGAGTACTGCGAGCACTACATTATAAGCTGGGAAGTACGCTTACGCCCACGAGCAAAGTGGGGAGGGCACACTCGGGAGGAAGTCAATCATGATGAGCGAGGACACAATGAGGTCAGTCTCGTGTCGTTCACGGAGGTGAATAAGGAGATCGAGGCCAAGAGAGGCTACTTTTCTCGGAGGCAACATATGGGCCGAAGATAGAGGGTTGCATGCTTCCGGGAATCCATCATTATCCGTGACAGTCATATTTACCCCGAACAAAAAACGAATGGGTTTGCTCTAGATCCTATCGCCTTCCCAATATCCATAATGGATACTCAGCTTCTGCACTGAGAGCGCACAATTCCCAAGTTTCCTTCATCTCATGAATATGGAGACGACTTTGCACGTATATCATCGGGGATCCGTCGACCGAAGAAATAAGCCGAAGATTCCCCAATGGTGGACTTAGCCTTTGCACGGCCCCCAAGGGACAGGCGAGGGTAACAGTTTGTAATGGGTCGGACGAGGAAATGATGGCTTTATCGCCGGCAGACAGAGAGGAGCTCGCCTGGGTCCATCCCTCATGATAAAATGATGGTGTTGAAGGAAGATGCTTCATTTATCCCCAGTCTGAGCTATACCCATTTGCTCCTGTCCTCCCCAAAGATCTCCTCCATTCATCCCCATCACAATCCCATGTCCTGCTTCCAATATTTTCTCCCCCTTTTTTCTCCTTCTCCCTTCCATTCTAGGGCTTTCGGACACTGGCACTGCTCCCGATTTCATCAGACGCGTTTCTTTTTTTTCGTGCATAAGGAGTGATTTTGGCAAAGTTTCGTTCCTTTCAAAGGAACGATGCAGATGAATAAGAAGTTTCGTCTTGTTGACTTCCGCACCTACAATAGCGTACTGGAAAAAAACGCAAAGTGCTCAATATGGACATGAAACCAGACAGACGCGTTGGTCGGAAGAGATTTTTTTTTCTGTATACCGAGCAACATTCTTGCACTGAAATATTGAAATAGCCTTAACAAGGATTATCCTTCTGTCGCCTCTTCGGTAGTCTTGTTTTATTCATCTTCTTTTAAGACAAAGGAAGAATATACCTGTGTGGAATTACTCTGTCCATAGGCATTCTTGTACATCCTGGAGAGGCTTGTTCAACAATGTTAGCGTCGAATTACCCTTACCAAAAAGTAAAACTCAAGCACATTCTGTTTTAAATGTGACTTCCTGTGATTCCGCTATGAAATGAAGCATGTGGCACATGAATTTGGGACGTGGGTGTGGGATTAGAGATGTGGAGGAGTGTAAATCATCCATGTGGGGAGTCTTTCACACGTGGGCAGGGTGTGCATTATGTTCGTGACTGGTAAATCACAGGTGCGAAAAATCTGATATTTCTAAATGTTCACATGTTCCTCGTCTCAAATTCACAGGGTAGGCAGCAGTGATTTTTGAGAAACACAGGTATGACGTTTTTGTAATGTTTATTGAGGGTACAGGACCAAGAGAGCAAAGCAGAAATCAGTCCACTGGATCCAGAAAGCGCAGCAACGCACGAACGAAAAGCTTTGAGCAAAAGCCTGCACGCTAACAAGTCATTTCCCAGCATCCGTTCTGGATGAATCGCGGCCCGATGACGGTGTTTGTGGGCTGCCTCTCCCGGTCGTCGCGAGTGAGCGCCTGAAGACTGGCGCACGACACGGTCCTCTCCAAGATCTGGCCCCAAAATCGCTCGCCGTGTCTGGTCCATTCCGAGTCCTCCAAGTCGGGTTGAGACGAACTCTGCCTCGAGAGATCCACGTGGAGTTTCTCCATCTGACGGGGGGACGGGAGAGAGGAAGAGGGTTCTCCGTCTCTGTCTCCTTCCTCCTCTCCCGACCTCGACTGCTGCTGCAGCCGACCGCATATCTGTTAATGAGACATGAAATGAAGACGTGTGGCCCTCTCATAGCCCTCTCATTCTTTTGTTCTGTTTCTATGTCATCGCGTAAAGAGACCAGAAGGAAGGGAAGAAAAAAAATGGCAGGGAAGAAGAAAGGGGAGAGGAGGAGGCCAAAAAAAAAGGGGAGAAAAGGGTGTTCCTCCTTTTCCTGGGTCTTCGGGCCTCTGAGACGTATTCACGGGACATTGACTTCTCCCATCTCATCTCATCTCGACCTTAATGTTTCGCTCATTTGCGCTGATGCATCCATTCGCGAGGATATCGATCAGCCCCCCGAGACGAGACTGCGACCTACCTTGAGGCAGAGTAGCTGAGATGCGTGCTGCCTAAATGGTCTACTCGTCAGGGCAAACACAATCACGTTCCAAAAGGAGTTGCTCAGGGCTAACCAGGTTACAGCAAAGTCCAATTCCGACGGCAACTGGAACATTAATGGACTTGCTAAGTGAAAATTATTTATCAAGATGGATGCATGCACTTGTTATGGGTTCAAGTACCTCGATTCCAGTGCAGGAAACGATCACTTGCTTTAGGGTCCATGGAGTGACTACTAGGATGAAAGCCACAGAAACCGATGCCAGGCTCCTCGCACTGGCCATATTTCGACGTCTTTCCGCAATCACCAACTGTAAATTTACCCGTATTCGATCACTACAACATGTGAGTTTGGGAAGAAAATCGATTCGAAACGACCGGAGGAAAATTCGGTACCTTTTCAAGGCTGCGTCCTCCGAATGTTTCCGATTTGGCGGCCGACGAGCAGCGAATCTTTTTGAATCGGACGTGTGCGAGTTGAAAAACGGAGCCGTAGCAGTAAAACAGAGCCATGGTGGGTGGAAAATAGAAGAGACAAGCGGCCAAGAGAGACAAGGAATTGGTGGCGTAGAACGGCTCGCACATGGCGAATCCCTCGTCGCGGAAGACGTACCCGTTCCCGGGGAGAACGAAGCCCACGTACAAGGTGAAGGAAAGGATCCAAGTGGAACAGACGAGCACCAAACTACCCTGTGTAATGAAGAAGAGATAAGGGGGGTTCCATTTACAGCCTTTCTCTTTTTCCCGGAAACGAAGATCTCTGCACGTAATATGAATGGCATTGATTGAATCATGATCGACCGAATCCCTCACATTTCCTCAGAGCTTCTGATTTTTATATTCCGGGCATAGAGCCATGTCCCGGGGATTTTTATACATTCACTTGGCTGGGGAGGCAATCTCCCACACTCCATTTGATGCCATATTTCCTCTTGATTCTTTTTTTCCCCTCCACATTATATATTTCCTTTGCCACTTAGACCGGAACCATCTTCGAGAACTTGAAAGCATTTGGCGACGATGGGACCCATCCACTCCTATCACGTACAGGCTAAGATGAATCTTTCCATCGTTCGAGAAATAGGCCAAAAGAGCCTTTCCAACAGCGAACCACTCCCACTTGTCCTCGCTCGTCTGTCGTCGAGGACGTGACATAAACGCGATTATTGCTGGCAAGAGAGCATCCTCGATGGTGGGTGATGACAGACCTTTCTGGACAGAAGTCTGTGGTACTTGACAGGATGGAGAATACAGAGGAATCGATCGAAGGCCAAGGCGATGAGAGTTGCCGCATTCTGTTGACTCAGGGCTCCAACCAGCAAGGCTTGGACGCAGCAAACAACCTCTCCGAATGGCCAACAACCGTACAGAGTGGGATAAACGGCTAAAGGGCCTACGGTTCCTCCCATGGCCACGTTTCCAAACGCCAACGACGCCAGAAGAAACCTAGGCTGTGGATCGTATGTGCACATCGTGAAGCCAATATTCTTATTCGTGTCCAGTGATGCAAAGCCATTGATTAAGAAGCACTTCCAACCTGCGAATTGAGAAATCGGGAGTGTTTTTGGCTGAGCAGAGTGGCCAGAAAGGTGGTATTTGCGATGAGGGTCCAGAAAGACAGGGCCAAGATGGCTCCCACCTCCGCGTATTCCCCACCTGTAGGACTTCTGGTACCTTTCACATCACACGTCTCGTTTCGGATGCCCGGAGGTTCCAGCCACGTGATCAGAGAGGCTCTCATCCCTGGAAAAATGAAATCCAAGGGCTGTTGTCAGATTTCTCAAGCGAGAGAAAGAAAGAGCTCTTGTCGTGAAGAAGAAGATAATCTTGGAATGACCTTCGAGTATAGCTTCCTGTCAAAAAAAAGCAAGAGAGGGATGAAAGGAACGCTATTTGAAACGGGGGAAGAACAGGCTGGACGGGATCGAAGTTCCTCCAGAGATCCTCCTTCGTTATCGTCAATGGAGGGAGAAGGAAAATCCTCACAAATTCCCTTCATATACCGAAGGAGGAGGAATCGAAATGACAGCAGGGGATTCCTCACAAAGGGGAATCCCATTCATACTCCGCCCCTCTCTTTCAAAATATCCAGAAGTCCATGACTGCAAGAGGGTTTCCCTTGCGTTCGCGATTTCCATAACAAAAAATGAGGCACGAGGAAAAGCCTTTGCCTTGCCCTCGTTTGCATTTTAATGCCGAAGGACTGGGGTATACTTGATTTCCGCGTCTTACTTAAAATGTCTGGGATGGATTCAGAGGAAGAGTTCATCAGAGAATATCTCCAGATTATCTAGATTATATTTTCAAAGAAGCTTTCTCACACATTTCAATGTCAAAGGGAAGGAAGCAGCATGGCAGTACATCACATGGGAATCAGCCTTTTTTTTTTTCTCTGAGGGAGACCCGAGAGAAAATTGGATCTAAGCTTCGGGATTCTGACACCTCACGTCGAGGGGCGAAAACATCTTTATTTCCTCGTGGAGTTAAAATCGATTCTTTCCGGTTCATTACGGGCGAGTGGGTGTAGAAAGTGCAATAAAGCTCTCTTTCAATCCTGGGCGATAACCGATAGCATTGAGAGCCGAGTATAAAGGCTGTCGAGGAGAAACTTTATCGTGCGCTCAAAGGAGTGGACGACCAAACTTCAAACTTGTCAAAACTTCAAAAGCTGTCAAATTTGAGACTAAATGAGCTGCGTGACTCGTTCTGGGGTTTCCCATAGCCGCCGGCAAGAGTTCAGGGTCGCCGAGGATATAATGAAATTCAAGTTCTCTTGTTCTTTCCTTTCCCCTGCGTCGTACTTTGTCGTGCCTCGAAAAATCCCGATAGGAATCTCGCAACAAATGCTCGGGGCTGAAGGCGTCGGAATTCTCGATGCAGGCATTCATGCATGCATGAAAGACTTTGCATATGCGATGATGGCAACATCGACGAAGGCAATCAAGCCGGTGTATAGCACTGCCTGCGAGATCCACCTACGTCATGAGAGATCTCCCGGGGGGAGGGCTTCATGTATTCTACCTTCGTGAATCTTCTTTCCCCGTTCTTCGTCGATTCGCGGGAAGCAGGACCGACCTTAGGCATGTGCCACGTGTGCCCCCGCACAGGGCGGAAATTCACCAGGAGTGTCAAAACGTGCCAGAATGAATGAAGTAATAATGGATGCCACCCTCAGTTTTACTTCAGAAACTGGAAATGCCTTCCTTTTCGGCGTCATTTTTGACGCTAGGAATTGACCCTTCTCCCTTCGGGGGAAGTGGGGGTAGTGGGGGATGGAGGGGGTGGGGTGGGGTGGGGGGGGGGGGGGGGGGGGGGGGGGGGCGGGG